TATAGCACTTCTCCTTAGTATGTCCTTGTTTCTTACAGAACTCACAGATTATGACTCCTCTATTGGTGTTATTACTTGAGAAAAAACCACTGCCTGTATAATTGTTGCTACCTAGATTGTTGCTACTTGAAAAATTTGTTCTATAAGCTCTTCCACATGTTGATCCTCTGCCAGTATTGGTGAAAGCATTTAGAGAAGTTGACTCCATAGGTATACGATTAGCAGGCCTAAATTCCCTTTGTTTCTCCTCATGGATCAACAAGGAAAAGGCTTGTGCCATGGAGGGAAGAGGATTCATCATGAGTATATTACCCCTGATCACAGTGTATACTTCATTCAATCCCATAAGAAATTGTATCAATCGTCTATCCTGTTCAGATTTATGCATACTCTCCTTAGCACCACATGTGCATAAGCAAGTACATAGGCTCTTCGCATTCAAAGTACTCAATTCCTCCCACAACGTCTTCATCCTTGTGTAATAGACAGTGATGTCTAGAACACCTTGTGTTAAGTCATCAATTTCCTTCTGTATCTGATACAATTTTGCACCATTGGTTTGGTCATATCTATCTTCCAGCTCCTTCTGAAGTTCAGCAGAATTATTGACATATTCTACACTATCTGAGATTTCTTTGGTCAAGGAATTCAATATCCATGATGTTACCATATCATCACATCTCTGCCATTGGCGAGATTGAGGTGAATTCTCAGTTGGCTTCACACAGCTCCCATCAATGAAACCAGACCATCCCTGGGTGTTATTTGAAGGATGAACATAAAGAGCACTGTTTGTGTCAACTCCAGCAGTAGCAGCTACCACATGATGTACATCAACATCTCCATGATGAAAAAAAACTTCAATTGAATCTGAAAACAGAAATACTAGATCTAGAAGATCGAGGAAGAAAGGAATCGAAACAGGTACAACCAACAAAGCTCCGATACCATATCAAAACTCACAACAATGGTGAGCACTCAATCAGAATGAAACAGAGAAGCCATGAAAGGCAATTGAGAGAGAAGAGCTGTGAAAATTGTATTTTCGGGAAATGAAAAATTATCGTTTCATTGATCGTTCAAGAATTATATACATGATACTGAGAACCTTCTAGAAAAATCAAATACACAGAAAATATCTTAACTAACTAACTGACATATTAACAAACTAACAAACTACTATATTATGATTAATTGAGTTGTACGTTAACTGGTAGCTAGCTAACTATTATGACTAAGCTAGTGATTAATTTAGCTATAGTAGTTGTCAATAAAAACAACAGCACGAGAAGAAGACAACAACAATGTGCGTTCTTTAGGAGCTTATTTCCGTCCATGGGCTTCATCTCTGGAAGAGATTTCAAAATCGAGCTCAGACTTATTTATGGATGGTAGAAATATCATCTTTGGCCATAAAAGAAAAGAAAATATTTTTGTCTCTTCAGTTCAGGTCTCCATAACTTTTCCGCATGGTTTATATATATATCAGAAGAACGAAAGTTATATTTTTTATCATCATCAGAGACAAAATTAAGTAAGGAAGCAATAAACACAAAAAAAAAAATAGGCAATTAAAAAAACAAAGGCCAAATTCAAATTTAATCAGCTTCAATGCAAATACCACATGCAATATCCATGTCCAAAAAGAAAATTAACTCTTTACATACATTAAATGTATAAAAAATCCAAACCAGAATGCATGTGATTTCTTGTCCAAACAAGAAGGTTGATAAAAACACATCTTTAGTTTTTTGTTTTGTTATTCTTCAGTTTGAAGGTAGTCCTTATGAAATCAATTTTTCAATTGCCCTTTTTATTCGTAAGTGTATAAGTATTCTGAACGACTTCGCTTCTATTTAAGCACAATTCTTCAGACAGTTGTTCTTCACTTTAAACTGCACATTTACTCTCAAACTCTCTTGACTTAGAGTTGTTCTTCACTTCAAACTCCACATGACTCGAACTCTTTTTACTTAGAGTTCTACTCTAAGAATGTTGTTAAGTGCAATTGACATCCAATTTGGTGATATAAGTGAAAGTATTATCCTTCTACTTTTAATTAAATTGAGCAAGTTTTAGGAAAAATCGAAATTTATTAACGAATAAATATTAGTAATGTTAATTTGTGGTGTTGATAATCTAATGATGTGAAAATATATAATATTTGCATAATCGTATATAACACTTAAACTAATTCAATTTTGACAAACGACACTATAAGTTATGTACCAACATATATAAATAATTAATTAACAACTCCACACTAATTTGTTAAATAATTTTATTTTCATAGATCAAGTAATACTTGATAAAAATATTCATATCTGTTGGTGTAGTTTGACGATGAGAAGAATTAAGAAAAAAAATCAAATTAAATGAACACTGCTAAAACTTTTTAGCTTAAAAATATTGTTATCGATGTCAATGATCTCACCAACGCAATTCTGATAGAATCATATAACATTGTACTTTACATATAATTTAAACCGTGATATATTTTTAATTCTATAAGAAAACATTAATTTATTATGAAAAACTGATAAATATATCTTCTAGAGCATATGAATGTGAGTCTTCAAAACTTAATTTTCGATACTCTTCTACAGGTGGAAAGGAAGAAAATAAAACTTCAAGGAGAAAAAAAGTCATGTGTTGATAATTAATTTTATATAATGAATATATATGAATGGTAGCAAGTGATGTAGACAAATTATAAGGCCAATATAACATTAATGTTATAAATCCAATAATTTATAAGCTAGTTTGTTGTATTTTTGGGTATCAATCAATTATATCATTGGCTTTTGATATCAGTAATGAAATTACTTTGTTCGTAACGTTTAATTTTGATCCGACGTTGAATTATCATATTCCTCTGTCCCTATTTACTTGTCCACTTTTCTTTTTATAGTTGTCCCTAATTACTTGTCCATTTTGACAAATCAAGAAAGGACGAATTATTTTTTTCTATTATACCCTCAATTAATTACATTGAAAAAGGTAGAACTTTTTGAAAATATTAAATTTTTAATTCATCCACCTCATAATTAATAGGGGTAAAATGGTAAATTCACTATGTCAATAATTATTTTCTTAATAGGTGTGCCAATTTAAAAGTGGACAAGTAATTAGGAACAGAGGGAGAACATATTAAAATTGGTCAAAAATATGACAGTTCATGTCAATCAGGGGCGGCTCAAACCCGATGGTGGCCTAAGGCCAAACTCAAACTAGAGGCCTTAAAAAAATTATAAATATTTTTATTTTAAATCTATTTTTCTATTTTTTTAGATGCAAAGTTGTTAATATTTTTTGTGTAGTCAATCTCTTCTAATAATTCTTTTTCAATCGATAATATAGTCAAACCACTTAATCTTTCTTGAGACATTGTCGATCTTAAATAAGATTTTATTATTTTTAATTTTTAAAAACTTCTTTCAGTTGAGGCGACTGTTACGGGAATTGTTAACATTATTCGATAAGCAATGTAAGCATTTGGAAAAGAATCAAGTCTTTTTATTTGATTGAGTATCTCAATTAGAGTATTGTCTTCTACTTTTATGATTTCCCTTAACAAATGATCTCAATTTCTTCCCACTAAATAGAAAACCAAAAATATTTTCATATACTTCAAATTGTTCAAATCTATTTTGAAGTGAAAAGATGGCTTGGTCTACTATGTATAAGAAGTAATCAACTCTAAATGATTCGGGCTGCTGCAATATATTTTTCTCCAAATTTAAAATATAAATTATCAATAGAACAAGTAAAATTCTTAAGCTTTGAATAAGAGAGATGTAAGATTAGAATTTAGAGAAGAGAAGTGAGAATAAATAGAAGAGATGAAGGGAGGAGGATAGAATATATAAAAATAAAATTAGAAAAAAAATAACTTGTACATTAAAAAAAAGTACACAACATTTTATTGAAAAGTTAAAAAGTCATAGTCATAACTCATATATATCACTTCAGCCGTTTGCAATTTTTTCCCAACCGTTTGCATTTTTTTTTCCATTCGTTTGCATTTATTATTGTCTTCATTCTAATTTTTTTTAAATTTAATCTTACCTAATTACTAAAAAATGGGGCCCTAAATTGGGGGCCTAAGGCCAAGGACTTTTCCTTAAGTCTAACCAGCCGCCCCTGTTCATCATCTTTCTTTATAAATCTTCTTTCATATTCTCATAGTTGGTATGTGGAAAGACAAGAGAGAGATATTCTCCCTCCTAAAATATCTGGTGTTTGTGCGTTTTAACTTTTATTTGAATTTCTGTCAGTTTTTGTGAGATTAGTTTTTTATTACTCCAGAAGAACTTGTGAGGAATACAACAGGTGAAATATTTTTTAAGAATAATATCTTTGACACACCTTAAGTTATAAGAATTTCCTACAAGTATTCGTGTTAAAGTATTTTTTTTTGTAAGATTTTCAATATTTAGTTGGTCACGAATATTAGGATTGCATTTAATTAAGATGATGGATAAAATCATTATTATTTTCATAATATTTGGTTCTTTTTTTTCCCTTCTATTATGTTGTATTATTTTATCCCGCCTAAACTGTGGAAGGAAATTACAGCAATCTGAAATTGAATTAGGCGATTCTGCTGAGGCAATTGTTACCATTACACAAGGTTGCTGTTGTGGTGGTGGTGACAGTACTTGTGATGGTGGTCCTGGTGGTAATTGCGGCAGTGCTGTTGATGGTGGTCTTGGCGGCGGTTAATTAACACCTTGTTTGGATGGTTGTTGCCCATTGTATTGTATTGTTTGTTTAGATTCAATGTTTGTTTCGATTGTTATTTAAATTGTATTGTATTGTATCGTATCGTTTAAATCCATTGCTAGGTAATGACGAGAAGTCCATTTTGTGTAACGATCACTACCTTAATATTTTCTTCTCATTTTTATCTTTTACTTATTATTTAATAATCCAATTTTATCGACATTATATAACGACTGAAAACGACACAATCAGGTAAAATATATTAAGAATCGAGATAAAACATTAAGCATCATTTTGCATAATCCACACAATTTACACATGTCATGTTGAAGGAAGGACTACAACTTTGTCATAACAATTTCGGGCCAACCTTAAACAATCTAGCCAATGCAGAATCTGTGAGTTGGGATCCCTCTCTATAACAACATCAGAAACAGTAATCTGAAGATTACCTCTATACCTACTGATCTTCCCGCGAACTCGACCAATAACCCCAAGTTGGATTTGGGAAGCAAAATCAGCGGCCATCTGGGCAATTAGTCGAACATTTGATGGGCAACGACGGGAAAAGTGATGCGAACTCTCATGATTGAGCCATAGGATACAAGGTATGCAACCAGTGCCATCATCAATGTCGAACTTGATAAATCTGTTGGGCTTGAAATCTCTGCTTACGACGATACCTACTGTCTCTGCGCGCGAGAGGCGTCTCCCCTTGCGAAAAAAAATGGTGGATTCGTGGGGGATTGGTTTCAGAGTAAGAAAATCGAACGCCAAGAGCTTGACGTGTGTATTGACAAGCTGTAGAGCATCCATTAATGGAGCTTTCTTTTTGACGGAGCCGTCTCCTCTAATGAAGAAGATGACTTTTTACCCTAACTATTCATCCCTTGCTTGCTAAATCCTATTATGTCTTTGGAAACAATTAATGTTGAAATCGGGTTAATTTGGGTTTTTCATCCAATTAAAAGGCATAAATAATGAAATTAGTAACGACAGGGGTAAAATTAACTTTATATTAACGGCAAAGATATACTCAATCAATAAAACAAAGTTGAGGGGTATTTTTGACCCTTTTCCCTATTTAAAACTACAAATTCTTGACATATTTAAAAATTGAATTTGGTGCAGAAAATGGAGATTTCCCAAGCTAATTCTACACCTTTATACCCTAAAACCCAAATTATGGATCTACTGCTCTGATGTTTACAGTCTAGTCAACTGGTAGGAGGACCTATGGATGTCCTCCTGGACAACTTTAAAGGGTCGTTTGGCTAAGAATAAGTTATTTCGAGATAAATTATTTTGACTCGGAATAAATTACCCCACCACGTATACAGAATATCGTATTTCATCACTATGGTATAAATAGTGGATAAATAATTCAAAGACTACATAATAGCTCCAACTAAACACATGATAACAATATTGCTTGGCTTGTCATGGCACAACTGGCTTTTTTGCTCGTCGTTGGGCACTATTGTCTGTCATGTTTGGAATAACCACAAAGCTTATTTATGCACCAAACATTATGATTCATGCTACTGTTACAACTTACATGGCTGATGTTTCAAAGGCTATATAACGTTAGTCTCAAAACATGTATCAAATAGTTGTGTTGAGATGAAGAACAAATTGATGGCCATCTTGCTTGCTAATGGCCACCACTGTGTCCGCCCCCCAAAAGCTAACGAAACTGAAAACACAAGTATAACTATAAAGGAGTTCTAAGTGGAACAAAAAAATAGCAAGATTGGATCATGTACACAATTTCAGGCAGCTTCTTAACGAGTGCAATAATCAAACAAATCCTATGAAAAACAAGACTGAATGCAGCAGTAAGCAGGGTTATTCAATTCAATATAATGCTTCAATCACTCAGATGATGCATGCCTAGCAATTACACATTCTGAGAACCAATCAACACACTAATAAGAATGTATGGTTGCAGAAATTCTGTACAAAAAGTAGTCCATCACTTCAACCTCAACCAGAACTGCTGAGAGCCATCCCAGAATCAATATAACCAAATATCTTACAACATTTCTGTTAATTTACTAGAATCTGATACAGAATCCACTTAAACTACAGTTAGGTCAACAGAGACCTCTGTCACTGTGTGTGCAACTAAGACGAGGTCTTCTTCCGAAATAGCTTGCTGATGTCTTCTGTAACAATATTGCTCCTGCACAAGTTAATTAAAGCATCTATTAGCCATCATAATTAAAACATCTGTTACTTGCAGAAAATTAAAAAAAATGGCTCCCTAGGTGGTATTAGGATCGTCTATTAAAGGATGATTACGTCATATAATCCACAAGTGCTTTATCCACTTTTAGCATTAGAAAGATTATTGGTCACGACTCACGTATTACCACAGCTATACGATAATTTCTGAGAACTTAACTCTCTTTAGATGGTGTGATGCAAATCCAACTTAAGACATGATGTCAAAGGAAACTTACGATGTCATGTAATTCCTAAAATTTTCATTTCTCTATACCATTCTTTTTTAGTAACTCCCTTGCTGTTTGACCCTTGTTTTTCATCTTTCTATGCTCTTTTCATGCTCAAACATTTTGTAAAGCATTGCCTACCATAAGCTCCCAATAATTCACCAATTCCTATGTCTAATTGGCCCCCAGTCTGTGCTACTTTGACCATGGAAACAGCTGACTTTCTTAGGTTTTGGGATTAAGTGGTAGACAATAATGTTGAATCTACGGGTCCACACAGGAGAGTAATTTAAGGGCCATCTACCAGAAATTCATCCTTCTCCTTCTCGCTAATCAATAACCATGTAGGAGCAGTAATTTGATGGGTCCTCTGCCATAATTACTTCTTTCGCCTTCTGCTTGCATTTCTCTCATTTGCTATTCTGTGCTACGTCTTCCTACCATAGGATCCAGATATTTTTCATTTCAATTTCCCTGCGGATATGCTCTACTCTGCTTCTGTTTCGTTACTCTACTCTAGTTATGCCAGAGGGAACTAGAGTATAAAATAATGTTAAACGGAGTGTATTAGTAATACTTGCATTAATATACATAGTCTACTTTTATGCATTGTTTGGTTTGGTGTATTAAAAATAGCATGCATTGCATAAAAATAATTATTTACAGAGATACCCTTCACAATTATGGTGGAAAAGATGTAAAAATGATTTTGAGGGGCAATGGGGTCTTTAATCATGCTAATCCATGCATTAAAACCCTTGCATTACTAATACCTAGAAATCCATGGTATTAGTAATACACAATAAAGTGTATAACTAATGCGTAGCATGAAAAAGTGCAACAAACAAGGTATAACTAATGCAAAGAGTTAATGCGTGCATTATTTTTGCTAATACACTCTACCAAACGACCCCTTAGAGAATTGGACATTATCCTTCAGGAGGATTTGGCAAAACATAATAAGAACCAGGGGCGGCTCAACAGATCTTGTGGCCTAAGGCAAAATTATATTAGGAGGCCCTTAAATTTATTTTATAAAATTTATACACTAACAAGAAAATCTATTTTCTACCCAATAGATTAATCATTTAAGACAAAAAATATCAAATTTCACACAAAAAAAAAAAGAAATGAAGAAGAGTACAAAAAATAAAAGTGATGGATTATCGATGTTAAGCTTCAAAACTCAAATAAAAATTTTAATTTGGCTATCATCACAAATAAGAAAAAGAAAAGAACATACATAACTTAATAGTTGAAGTTTTGAGCATGGATAGTAACAAAACTATCCAAATTTCTGATCAATTTAAATGATATAATTCATTCCATTAAGTAGCACTCATTGGTGAATATCTAAAACAAATTATAAAATTTTCATATAATATATTAAATTAAAA